ATAGATGTATATTTTTGATATATATATATATATATATATATATATTGAGATTGGCCGAGCGGTGGAAAAGCTATGGGGCAGTAAGACGATGGAGAAGGATTCGAGCAAAAGAAATAAAAAGAAATAAGACAGATAAGAAGAACCGCGAACCTTGGAATCCACCAAGATAGAACGGAATACTTTGCCCCCACTTGGCCTGCTCTCTCACAAACTCAACTAAGAGATCATTCTCAAGAAGAGAACTAGAACTCACAAAGACGATCGCATAAGCACCAAATTGAAAATTTATATCAATTATTCATCATCCTCAATTACAAGAAAGTAGCCTATAGAATAGGCCACAGTGAGAGAAAAGAATCAAAGCTCAAATGCCCTTCGGGCTACAACACTACATCGACCACCCATAAGGTAAAAAAGGAAAAACAACAAAATAATAAAACCACAAAATAAATAGACTCAAAGAATCGTAGCCGGTTGATCTCCGATGTCCTCATCAGTTATGCGTTGCATATGCAATATAAACTATTCCATATACCCTTTTGTTGCATATGAATGGTTTTATGAACTTAAACCTTAGATTGTTTGATCACCATAACGTCAGCCTTCTGATGACCTGTTTAGAGAATAGATGTATTAAAGATCTAGTTTAATTTAAGAAACGTAGAGTAGACCTAAAAGTGTTAGTTAGTTAAATTAAATTAAAAATTACATTTTTTATAGATTTAAAACGAGAAATTGAATTAGTTCCATTATGTTTATAGGATATTCAATGAATTTTCTCGATGGGTTTATATATACAGTCTAATCACTGCTTTATATCCTTCATGAATGTTAAATCTTCATGAAAGTTGTTGAACTTAATCTTCTAGTATTTTTTATAATGCGAAATCATATATGAATAGTGTTATATATGTATGGAGACTATAGAATTTTATAGCTCAACTTCATTCCCCCTCAACACCCTTCGTTAATCCAACCAATATAAATATATATAATATATAGTATATAGTCAATCATTTTCGACTAAAATTTTAGCTTATGGGTGATGCACAACCTGTATGCCACATGGCCCTTCTTAGGCAACACTGAGTTGTGACAGATGGGTGGATCAATCCTAGGTTAAACATATTTCCTGCTAACATCTCTCATTACTTTTCTTCCCAAGAAGGATCGAGTATATAGAGAAGTAGCTTGCCTTAGATCATTAACAAAAAGAATATTTATCATTTTATATGTTCATCATACTCATTGATATGGAGTATATATAATTTAAATCTCAAAATGGATTATAGAGCTTTATAGATATTTCATTAGAAAATTTATAAATTTACTAGAAGTCTTTTTTT